ATGAAGTTGTGTAACCGGGGAGCGCTGATGCTGGTGACCACGGCGGTAGCCTTCATAGCGTTCAGCCTGATGACCATCGCTGTGGGAACGGACTACTGGCTGTACTCGCGGGGCGTCTGCCGGTCCAAGACCTCGCTCCGTGACAACGAGACCATCCGCAAGAACGAGGTGGTGATGACGCACTCCGGGCTCTGGCGCACCTGCTGCCTCGAAGGTGACTGTTAACGGGTTGTTTGTTTGTTTTGATTGATTTGACTGGATTTTTTGGTTAACGGTTTAAACTACAACTATAGTGGTTTGGGTCAGTTTAAAGTGTTGATTTGACTGGATCTTTTGGTTAAGGGTTTAAAGTACAACTATAGTGGTTTGGGTTAGTTTTAAGTGTTGATTTGATTGGATCTTTTGGTTAAGGGTTTAAACGTTTGTGTGTGTGTCATTTCTCTTTGCTTATTTGAGCTGTTCTTGCCCCCCCTACCTTGTCACAACACAACTGATTGGCTCAAATGCATTAAGAAGGAAATAAATTCCACAAATTAACTTTTAACAAGGCACACCTGTTAATTGAAATGCATTCCAGGTGACTACCTCATGAAGCTGGTTGAGAGAATGCCAAGAGTGTGCAAAGCTGTCATCAAGGCAAAGGGTGGCTATCTCAAATATAAAATATATATTTTGATTTGTTTAACACTTTTTTGGTTACTACATGATTCCATATCTGTTATTTCATAGTTCTGATGTCTTCACTATTATTTTACAATGTAGAAAATAGTAAAAATAAAGAAAAACCCTTGAATGAGTAGGTGTGTCCAAACCTTTGACTGGTACTGTGTATAGATATATATATAAATATACATACTGTATAGTATACAGTGGCAGTCGGTGCCATTGGGTTCAGGCTGTCGCTGGGCAACACAGACTTTCAGCTCCCTCCAAAGATTTTCTATTGGGTTCAGGTCTGGAGACTGGCTAGGCCACTCCAGGACCTTGAGATGCTTCTTACGGAGCCACTCCTTAGTTGCCCTGGCTGTGTGTTTCGGGACGTTGTCATGCTGGAAGACCCAGCCCACGACCCATCTTCAATGCCCTTACTGAGGGAAGGAGGTTTATTGGCCAAGATCTCGCGATACATGGCCCCATCCATCCTCCCCTCAATACGGTGCAGTCGTCCTGTCCCCTTTGCAGAAAAGCATCCCCAAAGAATGATGTTTCTTTGGGTTGTACTCATCCTTATTCTTCCTCCAAACACGGCGAGTGGAGTTTAGACCAAAAAGCTATATTTTTGTCTCATCAGACCACATGACCTTCTCCCATTCCTCCTCTGGATCATCCAGATGGTCATTGGCAAACTTCAGACGGGTCTGGACATGCGCTGGCTTGAGCAGGGGGACCTTGCGTGCACTGCAGGATTTTAATCCATGACGGCGTAGTGTGTTACTAATGGTTTTCTTTGAGACTGTTGTCCCAGCTCTCTTCAGGTCATTGACCAGGTCCTGCCGTGTAGTTCTGGGCTGATCCCTCACCTTCCTCATGATCATTGATGCCCCACGAGGTGAGATCTTGCATGGTGCCCCAGACCGAGGGTGATTGACCGTCATCTTGAACTTCTTCCATTTTCTAATAATTGCGCCAACAGTTGTTGCCTTCTCACCAAGCTGCTTGCCTATTGTCCTGTAGCCCATCCCAGCCTTGTGCAGGTCTACAATTGTATCCCTGATGTCCTTACACAGCTCTCTGGTCTTGGCCATTGTGGAGAGGTTGGAGTCTGTTTGATTGAGTGTGTGGACAGGTGTCTTTTATACAGGTAACGAGTTCAAACAGGTGCAGTTGATACAGGTAATGAGTGGAGAACAGGAGGGCTTCTTAAAGAAAAACTAACAGGTCTGTGAGAGCCGGAATTCTTACTGGTTGGTAGGTGATCAAATACTTATGTCATGCAATAAAATGCAAATTAATTATTAAAAAATCATACAATGTGATTTTCTGGATTTTTGTTTTAGATTCCGTCTCTCACAGTTGAAGTGTACCTATGATAAAAAATTACAGACCTCTACATGCTTTGTAAGTAGGAAAACCTGTGAAATCGGCAGTATATCAAATACTTGTTCTCCCCACTTTATTTAGTATAGTTTTATCTAAAAAGGATAACTTTTTTATCGTTTCACTATTTATGTTTTTATGGAATCCACTGAGGAGGATGGTCCTCCCCTTCCTCCTCTTAGGAGCCGCCACTGATAGTCTAGTGAGTGTGCGTAGGGTCAGTGCATGATAGATAGTTCAGGTACCATTCATTGACTAATTGACTACGGCCCCAGTGATGTGCTGGTCTGCACCAGCCTCTGTAGCACCATGTGATTGAGGGCGGTGCTGTTGCCATACCAAGCGGTGATGTAGCCAGTCAAGATGCTCTCGATGGTGCAGCTGTATAACATTTTTGAGGATCCGAGGGCCCATACCAAATATTTTCGGCCTGCTGAGGGGGAAGAGGCGCTGCCGTTCCCTGTTCACGACTGTGCGAGTGTGTGTGGACCATGTTACGTCCTTAGTGATGTGGACGCCAAGGAACTTGAAGCTCTTGACCCGCTCCATAACAGCCCCGTCGATGTGGATGGAGGCGTTGCTCTCCCCTCTTTCTCCTATAGTCCACCATCAGCTCCTTGGTCTTACTGACGTTGATGGAGAGGTTGTTGTCCTGGCAACACCCTGCTAAGTCTCTGACCTCCTCCCCTGTAGGCTGACTCATTGCCGTCGGTGATCAGGCCTACCACCGTGGCGTCGTCGGCGAACTTGATGATGGTGTTGGAGTCGTGCGTAGCCACAAAAGTCGTGGGTGAACAGGGAGTACAGGAGGGGGCTGAGCACGCACCCCTGAGGGCCCCCCCCCCCATGTTGAAGGTCAGCGTGGCCGAGGTGTTGTTGCCTACCCTCACCACCTGGGGGCGGCCCGTCCAGGATCCAGTTGCAGAGGGAGGGGTTCAGTCCCAGGGTCCCTAGCTTGGTGATGAGCTTGGAGGGGGACTATGGTGTTGAACGCTGAGCTGTAGTCTATGAACAGCATTCTCACATTATTTCCCCTCTTATGCAGGTGGGAAAGGGCAGTGTGAGAGGGCGACTGAGATTGCATCATCTTGTGGCTCTGTTGGGGCGGCATCAGCATTGGAGTGGGTCCAGGGTGTCTGGGATGATGATGTTGACGTGTGTCATGACCAGCCTTTCAAAGCACTTCATCGTTACAGATGTGAATGCCTACAGGGTCGACAGTCATTTAGGAAGGTTACCTTGGAGCTGACGGGAACAAGGGGGGACAATGGTGGTCAGCTTGATTAGAGACAAGGAGAGATTTAAAATGTCCGTGAAGACACTTGGCAGCTGGTCTGAGCTCTGAGAACACATCCCTGGTGTTCTGTCTATTCTGACTCACACACACACACACACACACACACACACACACACACACACACACACACACACACACACACACACACACACACACACACACACACACACACACACACACACACACACACACACACACACACACACACACACACACACACACACACCCACACACACTCTAATGTTTGCTGACCTCTATCTGTTAAACATCAAAGTGGTTTAATGAGTTGGGCACATTGTTAAAAGGACATCAATGATGTGTGTGGGTGTGTTTGCATGTGTGTGGGTGTGTATTGAGGACCATTGAACAGTTAAAAGCCCCTTTGGGAAGATTGCTCCAGGACAGTTTCTGCTCTGCTCTGACCTGGCTGTTAGCAGATGTACAGGTAACTACCAAAATAAAGGAAACAGTTTCTGCTCTGCTCTGACCTGGCTGTTAGCAGATGTACAGGTAACTGCCAAAATAAAGGAACCAGTTTCTGCTCTGCTCTGACCTGGCTGTTAGCAGATGTACAGGTAACTACCAAAATACAGGAAACAGTTTCTGCTCTTCTCTGACCTGGCTGTTAGCAGATGTACAGGTAACTACCAAAATACAGGAAACAGTTTCTGCTCTGCTCTGACCTGGCTGTTAGCAGATGTAACTACCAAAATAAAGGAAACACCAACATATAAACCTGTAGGAGTTTGACCCTTCAGAACACTGTTAGCTTCATATCGTGTACCTGTTTCAGCCAGCTTCTTCTTCTGTTGTATTTGGCTTGGTGGTAATGTGACACAGTCTGTCCTGGGTTGGCGTGGCAACCATGGTGACACTCCATCATAGAGTCAATATGGGAGGTCAATACAGTAGTAGGCTTATCTCCTCAGTGCTATACACACACACACACACACACACACACACACACACACACACACACACACACACACACACACACACACACACACACACACACACACCCCTGAACACCTCTGTTCTCTGTGTAGGGACATTCAGAGGGGTGTTTAAAGAAACCCCCTGAACACCTCTGTTCTCTGTGCAGGGACATTCAGAGGGGTGTGTAAAGAAATCCCTAGAACACCTCTGTTCTCTGTGCAGGGACATTCAGAGGGGTGGTTAAAGAAATCCCTGAACACCTCTGTTCTCTGTGCAGGGACATTCAGAGGGGTGTGTAAAGAAACCCCCTGAACACCTCTGTTCTCTGTGCAGGGACATTCAGAGGGGTGTGTAAAGAAACCCCCTGAACACCTCTGTTCTCTGTGCAGGGACATTCAGAGGGGTGTGTAAAGAAACCCCTGAACACCTCTGTTCTCTGTGCAGGGACATTCAGAGGGGTGTGTAAAGAAACCCCTGAACACCTCTGTTCTCTGTGCAGGGACATTCAGAGGGGTGGTTAAAGAAACCCCCTGAACACCTCTGTTCTCTGTGCAGGGACATTCAGAGGGGTGTGTAAAGAAACCCCCTGAACACCTCTGTTCTCTGTGCAGGGACATTCAGAGGGGTGTGTAATGAAACACCTCTGTTCTCTGTGCAGGGACATTCAGAGGGGTGTGTAAAGAAATTGATTATTTCTTAGAGGATGCTGACTATGAGCAGGATGCTGCAGAATACCTACTGAGTGAGTACACACACACACACACTTATACATCACATAATGAATTTTGAGTGTAATTTTGACTTTCCTTTGTGTGTGTGTGTGTGGTGTGTGTGTGTGTGTGTGTGTGTGTGTGTGTGTGTGTGTGTGTGTGTGTGTGTGTGTGTGTGTGTGTGTGTGTGTGTGTGTGTGTGTGTGTGTGTGTGTGTGTGTGTGTGTGTGTGTGTTGAAGGAGCGGTGAGAGCCTCCAGTATATTCCCCATAATGAGTGTAGGTCTGTTGTTTCTGGGAGGAGTGTGTGTGGCCGGCAGCGAGTTCTACAAGACACGACATAACGTCATCCTCAGCGCCGGGATACTGTTCGTCTCCGCAGGTCGGCACACACATACACACACACACACACACACACACACACACACACACACACACCGGTAGCACACACACACACACACACACACACACCGGAAGCACACACAGGATGCATACATACACTCTTCTAAGTACCTCTCTCTTTCTCTCTCTCTCTCTCTCGCCCTCTCTCTCTCTCTCTCTCTCTCTCTCTCTCTCTCTTTCGCTCTCTCCCTCTCCCTCTCGCTGTCTCTCTGTCTCGCTCCCTCTCTGTCTCTCTCTTTCTCTGTCTCTCTCGCTCTCTCTGTCTCTCTCTCTCTCTCTCTCTCTCTCTCTCTCCAGGCCTCAGTAACATCATTGGCATAATTGTCTACATATCAGCTAACTCTCTCTCTCCACTCTCCAGGCCTCAGTAACATCATTGGCATAATCGTCTACATATCAGCTAACTCTGGTGACCCAGGTCAGAGTGACAGTAAGAAGAGTTACTCCTACGGCTGGTCCTTCTACTTTGGGGCGATCTCCTTCGTCCTGGCTGAGATGGTGGGTGTCCTGGCGGTACACGTCTTCATAGAGCGACACCGACAGCTCCGTACCCGTGGCCGCCCTTCCCTCACCAAACCCCCCCTGTTCCGCTCCGCCTCCTACTGCAACCGTTACAACCGCTACAGACGCCGCTCCAGTTACCGCGGCAACATGGACTCTCGTTACTCGATATCGTCGGCGGGGCAGCTGCGACCTCGTGAGCCCTCGCCGTTGCCGGCGGCCCTGTACGTGTCAAAGGTTGTCGCCGCGGGTCCATCGGGGTCGGAGCCCAAACTAACCCCGCCCAATAACAAGATGGCCGCCGCAGGAGGAGAAGGAGGAAGAGGGTGGATGTCGGGAGGAGCGTTATCCCGTCACCACTGACAACCATGCCCAACAATAAGGAGATGTTGCCTAGCAATGCTGCTAACAGGAGGACAACGCCTGTCTGAGGGAGGGAGGGAGGGAGGGAGGGAGGGGGAGGGAGGGAGGGAGGGAGGGGAAAGGAGAAAGGAGAAAGGAGAAGGTGGGAGGGAAGAAGGAAAACGAGAAGGAGAGAAGTTATCATGGATTGTTGAGTCCTACTCGATGACTGGATAGAACACTCTCTCTGTCTAATGAACATAGAACATACATGATGGAACACTCTCTCTGTCTGATGAACATAGAACAGACATGATGGAACACTCTCTCTGTCTGATGAACATAGAACAGACATGATGGAACACTCTCTCTGTATGATGAACATAGAACACACATGATGGAACACTCTCTCTGTCTGATGAACATAGAACAGACATGATGGAACAATCTCTCTGTCTGATGAACATAGAACAGACATGATGGAACACTCTCTCTGTCTGATGAACATAGAACATACATGATGGAACACTCTCTCTGTCTGATGAACATAGAACATAGATGATGGAACACTCTCTCTGTCTGATAAACATAGAACAGACATGATGGAACACTCTCTCTGTCTGATGAACATAGAACAGACATGATGGAACACTCTCTCTGTCTGATGAACATAGAACAGACATGATGGAACACTCTCTCTGTCTGATGAACATAGAACAGACATGATGGAACACTCTCTCTGTCTGATGAACATAGAACAGACATGATGGAACACTCTCTCTGTCTGATGAACATAGAACAGACATGATGGAACACTCTCTCTGTCTGACGAACATAGAACAGACATGATGGAACACTCTCTCTGTCTGATGAACATAGAACAGACATGATGGAACACTCTGTCTCTCTGATGAACATAGAACAGACATGATGGAACACTCTCTCTGTCTGATGAACATAGAACAGACATGATGGAACACTCTCTCTGTCTGATGAACATAGAACAGACATGATGGAACACTCTCTCTGTCTGATGAACATAGAACAGACATGATGGAAACACTCTCTCTGTCTGATGAACATAGAACAGACATGATGGAACACTCTCTCTGTCTGATGAACATAGAACAGACATGATGGAACACTCTCTCTGTCTGATGAACATAGAACAGACATGATGGAACACTCTCTCTGTCTGATGAACATAGAACAGACATGATAGAACACTCTCTCTGTCTGATAAACATTTACAACCCTCATATTGCTGTGCAGAACACTATAGATTGAATCAGTCTTTCTCTGTCTGTTCAGTTTGTTTACTGGAAGCTTAATGACCCCTGACCTTTGTCCAGAGCCAATGACAGACCCAGATCCAGTGTAGCTGTCCGACCTGACATCCAATAAGAATGCTACCTTTTGTTTTCTGTTACAAAATCCCTCTCTGTAAAGATGTTGTGTATTCTGCTGACTAACCTTTAGTAACTCTTAGTAGGCCCTCACACTGTTTACAATAAATACACTGACTAACCTTTAGTAACTCTTAGTAGACCCTCACACTGTTTACAATAAATACACTGACTAACCTTTAGTAACTCTTAGTAGGCCCTCACACTGTTTACAATAAATACACTGACTAACCTTTAGTAACTCTTAGTAGGCCCTCACACTGTTTACAATAAATACACTGACTAACCTTTAGTAACTCTTAGTAGGCCCTCACACTGTTTACAATAAATACACTGACTAACCTTTAGTAACTCTTAGTAGGCCCTCACACTGTTTACAATAAATTACATGACTAACCTTTAGTAACTCTTAGTAGGCCCTCACACTGTTTACAATAAATACACTGACTAACCTTTAGTAACTCTTAGTAGGCCCTCACACTGTTACAATAAATACACTGACTAACCTTAGTAACTCTTAGTAGGCCCTCACACTGTTTACAATAAATACACTGACTAACCTTTAGTAACTCTTAGTAGGCCCTCACACTGTTTACAATAAATACACTGACTAAACCTTTAGTAACATTTGGTAGGCCCTCACACTGTTTACAATAAATACACTGACTAACCTTTAGTAACTCTTAGTAGGCCCTCACACTGTTTACAATAAATACACTGACTAACCTTTAGTAACTCTTAGTAGGCCCTCACACTGTTTACAATAAATACACTGACTAACCTTTAGTAACTCTTAGTAGGCCCTCACACTGTTTACAATAAATACACTGACTAACCTTTAGTAACTCTTAGTAGGCCCTCACACTGTTTACAATAAATACACTGACTAACCTTTAGTAACATTTGGTAGGCCCTCACACTGTTTACAATAAATACACTGACTAACCTTTAGTAACTCTTAGTAGGCCCTCACACTGTTTACAATAAATACACTGACTAACCTTTAGTAACTCTTAGTAGGCCCTCACACTGTTTACAATAAATACACTGACTAACCTTTAGTAACTCTTAGTAGGCCCTCACACTGTTTACAATAAATATACTGACTAACCTTTAGTAACTCTTAGTAGGCCCTCACACTGTTTACAATAAATACACTGACTAACCCTTAGTAACTCTTAGTAGGCCCTCACACTATTTACAATAAATACACTGACTAACCTTTAGTAACTCTTAGTAGACCCTCACACTGTTTACAATAAAATACACTGACTAACCTTTAGTAACTCTTAGTAGGCCCTCACACTGTTACAATAAATACACTGACTAACCTTTAGTAACTCTTAGTAGGCCCTCACACTGTTTACAATAAATACACTGACTAACCTTTAGTAACTCTTAGCAGGCCCTCACACTGTTTACAATAAATACACTGACTAACCTTTAGTAACTCTTAGTAGGCCCTCACACTGTTTACAATAAATACACTGACTAACCTTTAGTAACTCTTAGTAGGCCCTCACACTGTTTACAATAAATACACTGACTAACCTTTAGTAACTCTTAGTAGGCCCTCCCACTGTTTACAATAAATACACTGACTAACCTTTAGTAACTCTTAGTAGGCCCTCGCACTGTTTACAATAAATACACTGACTAACCTTTAGTAACTCTTAGTAGGCCCTCACACTGTTTACAATAAATACACTGACTAACCTTTAGTAACTCTTAGTAGGCCCCTCACACTGTTTACAATAAATACACTGACTAACCTTTAGTAACTCTTAGTAGGCCCTCACACTGTTTACAATAAATACACTGACTAACCTTTAGTAACTCTTAGTAGGCCCTCACACTGTTTACAATAAATACACTGACTAACCTTTAGTATCTCTTAGTAGGCCTTCACACTGTTTACAATAAATACACTGACTAACCTTTAGTAACTCTTAGTAGGCCATCACACTGTTTACAATAAATACACTGACTAATCTTTAGTAACTCTTAGTAGGCCCTCACACTGTTTACAATAAATACACTGACTAACCTTTAGTGACTCTTAGTAGGCCCTCACACTGTTTACAATAAATACACTGACTAACCTTTAGTATCTCTTAGTAGGCCCTCCCACTGTTTACAATAAATACACTGACTAACCTTTAGTAACTCTTAGTAGGCCCTCACACTGTTTACAATAAATACACTGACTAACCTTTAGTAACTCTTAGTAGGCCCTCACACTGTTTACAATAAATACACTGACTAACCCTTAGTAACTCTTAGTAGGCCCTCACACTGTATACAATAAATACACTGACTAACCTTTAGTAACTCTTAGTAGGCCCTCACACTGTTTACAATAAATACACTGACTAACCTTTAGTAACTCTTAGTAGGCCCTCACACTGTTTACAATAAATACACTGACTAACATTTAGTAACTCTTAGTAGGCCCTCACACTGTTTACAATAAATACACTGACTAACCTTTAGTAACTCTTAGTAGGCCCTCACACTGTTTACAATAAATACACTGACTAACCTTTAGTAACTCTTAGTAGGCCCTCACACTGTTTACAATAAATACACTGACTAACCTTTAGTAACTCTTAGTAGGCCCTCACACTGTTTACAATAAATACACTGACTAACCTTTAGTAACTCTTAGTAGGCCCTCACACTGTTTACAATAAATACACTGACTAACCTTTAGTAACTCTTAGTAGGCCCTCACACTGTTTACAATAAATACACTGACTAACCTTTAGTAACTCTTAGTAGGCCCTCACACTGTTTACAATAAATACACTGACTAACCCTTAGTAACTCTTAGTAGGCCCTCACACTGTATACAATAAATACACTGACTAACCTTTAGTAACTCTTAGTAGGCCCTCACACTGTTTACAATAAATACACTGACTAACCTTTAGTAACTCTTAGTAGGCCCTCACACTGTTTACAATAAATACACTGACTAACCTTTAGTAACTCTTAGTAGGCCCTCACACTGTTTACAATAAATACACTGACTAACCTTTAGTAACTCTTAGTAGGCCCTCACACTGTTTACAATAAATACACTGACTAACCTTTAGTAACTCTTAGTAGGCTCTCACACTGTTTACAATAAATACACTGACTAACCTTTAGTAACTCTTAGTAGGCCCTCACACTGTTTACAATAAATACACTGACTAACCTTTAGTAACTCTTAGTAGGCCCTCACACTGTTTACAATAAATACACTGAATAACCTTTAGTAACTCTTAGTAGGCCCTCACACTGTTTACAATAAATACACTGACTAACCTTTAGTAACTCTTAGTAGACCCTCACACTGTTTACAATAAATACACTAACTAACCTTTAGTAACTCTTAGTAGGCCCTCACACTGTTTACAATAAATACACTGACTAACCTTTAGTAACTCTTAGTAGGCCCTCACACTGTTTACAATAAATACACTGACTAACCTTTAGTAACTCTTAGTAGGCCCCTCACACTGTTTACAATAAATACACTGACTAACCTTTAGTAACTCCTAGTAGGCCCTCACACTGTTTACAATAAATACACTGACTAACCTTTAGTAACTCTTAGTAGGCCCTCAC